TTCAAAATACATCATGAGTAATATGGGAAAATATCGCTATTTTCATTTTGCAGATAGAGAAATTGCAGGCCAGGGAGTTACGTGTTGATCAATAACTCGCACTGACATCACTGACAGTCCACGGAGGAGCATAGGAGGGCGAGCAGATGAGGGTGTGCAGAGGGAGCTGCCAGCTGCGTCAAGTGCAGGACTTCTCAGGCGGTGATGGGTCGCCTGGCTGTGGGTCACCCCGCAGGTACAGGACTTCTCAGGCGGTGATGGGTCGCCTGGCTGTGGGTCACCCCGCAGGTACAGGACTTCTCAGGCGGTGATGGGTCGCCTGGCTGTGGGTCACCCCGCAGGTACAGGACTTCTCAGGCGGTGATGGGTCGCCTGGCTGTGGGTCACCCCGCAGGTACAGGACTTCTCAGGCGGTGATGGGTCGCCTGGCTGTGGGTCACCCCGCAGGTACAGGACTTCTCAGGCGGTGATGGGTCGCCTGGCTGTGGGTCACCCCGCAGGTACAGGACTTCTCAGGCGGTGATGGGTCGCCTGGCTGCGGGTCACCCCGCAGTGCAGGACTTGTTAGGCGGTGATGGGTCGCCTGGCTGCAGATTATGACACAGTTGGTAAATGTAAGAATTTAGGAAGACAGGTAATAGACATTTTGGAAAAACTGTTGATACACCTAAACTGCTGAGGTTCTGTGGCTCAACAGTAAGAGCCGAATAAGAAGTGAACCAGCAGCCAGGGCCAGCCCACCCAGACTTGCTGCAGTGCACTGAGCTCAGTGGGAAACGGTGAAATGCCAAGACCACTGGCCTTTTTATTTCTCCTTCTTCTTTAATGACCTCCTCACTCTCCTCCAGCTAATTGACAGCCATGTCACGGGCAAGCAGATGCCTTCTTTTCACTGCCATGGAGGTCAGCATGGCCTCCACCCTCCACAGGGCCACCCTCTTCAGACAGTCCCTGCCAGGTTCATCTTCCATATTAAGATGCCCTTCTCGCAATTCTTGGATTTCATGGGCACGTCCTCCCACCTTAACTGTCGCAGAGAGATGTTGCTGAAATATGAAGATGCTTCCCTTCTGATGCTGACAGTGTCTCCGTAGGCTCTCCCTGCCCTGCAGGATGAAGCGGGGAGGGCTGCAAATTTCTCACTGATGAGGCCTTGTTCCATCCCTGACCCTGGGACTTGCCACATCCCCAGGCAACATGCCAAACAACCGAGTTTCCATTGCTACACCCTTCTCCTCGTACTTCCCATATTAATTTTCTCAATTTATTATTTTTTTAGAGAGAGGTTTAAGCTGCAGGGTGCATGTCCTTGCCAAAGAGACAGAGAAACAGAAAGTGAGAAATCACTCCCAGGGCAGATGAACATGCTGCAATCCATTCTCCTCTCAGGATTTTGGGCATGCATCCACATGCGCCCAGCGTGAGTTTTAAGCCTCCGAGTCTAAGACTCGAACCATGGCTGACTATGTGGGAGTCCAATGATATAAGCATGACGCCATCTGACTTGTATTTACTGTAAAGCTTTGAGTAGTACCGATTCTACTCTCTCATAGTCCATTACAAAAGCAGGTCTTAGGTCACGTTCTTGCTACAGTAATTTAAAATCTCTTGAACAGAGGCCAGCAGATGACATAGTGGTTAGGTTGCTGGACTCCCATGTGGCAGACCATGGTTTGAGTCCCAGAACCAGCAGCTTGAAACTCAGTTCGGACACATGTGCATCCCCTACATCCCAAGAGGAGAATAGAGGAGGAGGGATAGCAAGGTGGCCATTCCGCTTGATGGGTTGATACCTCACTTTCTGACTCTCTGGAGAGTGTATGCACCCTATAGCAAAAATCTCTGAAAAGAAAAACAAAACAAAACAAAACAAAACAAAAACCCTTGAACAAAAAGTCTAATTTTTATGCCTACTCACACTTGTTAATTTCTCACGATCGTCAGCTACAACAGCCCCTCCCTAGTGCACCAAGACCATCCACCCATACATCTAGCCACAGTAGCCCTGCAGGTGAGGTCAGCAGCGTTCTCATTTGTTATGGTTTTGTCTGATTATCCTGAAAATCGCTACAAACACCGTTAAAGTAAATGTCCTATGATACTGAATTAATGCGTAGTAGAGTCTATTGACTGCGGAAAGCACACCATTACGTAAAATGGAACAGATTGACTGGTTCATCTCAAGGCAAAGAATTCTATTTTCCTTCTTTCTTTTTTTTTTGAAGAGGCTTTTATTATAGGACACATGCACCCACCAGAAAGACAGAGAGAGACAGAAAGGGAGAAATCACCCCCCAGGGGGCTGGCTACACTGCAATCCCTTCTCCTCCATTCTCCTCTTGGGATCTTGGGCATGCATCCAGCGTGAGTTTAAGCCCCTGGGTCCAGGATTCAAACCACGGTTGACTACATGGGAGTCCAGCGACATAGCCATTGTGCCAACTCCTGGTCCCAAGAATTATATTTTCTAAAAGCTACACATAAAACAAAAGCACAGAGATTTCTCCTGAGCACTCAGTGAAGCAACAAGCTCATGGAGACATTCTTACTGTACAGTGAAATATGGCAATCAAGACCGTTGGTTCATAAATTTTTCAGAATAAATTATTCATAGAGCTTAGTGATACATGAAGTATTCGAATTCCACCATTTACTCAGTAAATATTTGTTAAGTCTGTAAAGTGTAGTATTCTCATTTTTCATAGGGAAAATTGAGGCACAACTAAGTGGATTCATTTACTAAAACTCTCATTTATTTACTGATAGAGTTAGAAATATAACCCAGACAACTATAATCCTTATGGTCAGCTTACTTGATAACACATTTTATGTAATCCAATAATCTGTTCCGTTACTTCACTTGTATTTATGAAAGTGTGTTCATCAATAATGAAAAGTTGGAACAGAATGTAGAAGTGATATGTATTAACATACGTACCTAGGTTTGTGAAAGTTTAGTGCTTCTAAATTATTCTATGCTGGGACTATAGAACACATATATATATGATTACATAGATTGCAAGGTTTGTGGTGGTTGTTATTTGAGTTTCTTTAGGTTTTGGCTGTAGGGTACATGCGCTCCACAGAAAGACAAAGAGGGAGACAGAGAGAGGGACAGTGAACGGTCACCCCAGAGATGGGATGGCCATGCTGCACTCCATTCTCTACTCTCCTGAGATCTGGGCCACACGCGCACATGTGCCCAAAGTGAGTCTCAAGCTGCCAGGTCCGGGACTCAAACTGTGGCTGGCCATTTGGGATTCCAGCGCCTAAACTACGACACCCGTAGATTGCAGACTTGATCTGAGTGTATTGACTTCAATCAGCTAAAACTATCTTAGCTGCCATGATTCATTTAAAGCAGAGATGACAAATATGTTTGAGACATGCTTTAATTTATGGTACATGAACCAATGGTTATAATAATCAGAGAGTAGAAGAAATGCATCTTGCTAAATTCAAATTAGTTCTCATTTTCTATGGATGGTTGAGCTTGTGCCTGGGTTTTTTAAATGTCTCACTTGCTGTTGAACATCAGAATTAAAGATAAGGATGGCATGTGAAGTTATAATATTCTTTTCATGCTGTGTATATTTTTTCTTTTTGCAAATTAAAAAGAAACGTATTTCAAGAAAACAGACAATGGTTGTACTTGCTGAAACCTTTTCATGTATTTTAAGAAAAAAATGTATCTGAACACTTTGTTTTTGAAAAAAAGTGCTGAGTTAAGTGTCTGAGCATCTACTTTCTAAAAATACTATATAATAGTAGAGATGCAGAGTGCCACGGAGCCCAAGGCTGAATAGAGGAGTGTAGAGGGAGGGGGGTGACAGCAGCCTCAAGGTGCATCCAGGCCAGACATAGGCTCTGTGGGTCTTCTTTTGTTTGCTGAAGCAAAATCATACCCAATGCCCAGAAATACCCAGGTACAAAGCTCAGAAATGCCAGGAAAAGTGTTCATTGGGAGATAATACACAAGTTTGTACACTTCACATTGTATTTTAAATACCAAACTGCAGAAGTTTTCAATTGCTTCATAATTGGCTGGAATGTAAATAGTTCGCATTGTCTAAAAATGCATTATGTGTACACCAAAGTAATTCCTGAGCATGAGGCTTTTGGCTAGCTTCCATTCACTTTGGGATTTTATCTATTCCTGTCCGCTAAGCTTATATCTAAACACTGTGAGGACCTGATGCAGAAACAAAATATAAATCATCGAAGCTGCAGGGAGCAACTTTCAATTCTATTGCACTTTTGTGAACAGTTTAGGATGGCACCATTTAATTTTCTCTAACAGAAAAAGAAATCAATAAAAGACCATAGGGATAGTTAGACTGATCACTGCAATTTAAGAAAAAGTTTGTTGTTACGACATTCACAGCATTCACCTAAATTAAGAACATGACCACGTAGGCCTGGGGAGTAGACGGGAACCTCTGGTCCCAATCCGCCTTTGAGAAGAGGCAGACACTGAGTTGTGGATGGATGACAGCTGACAAAGTGCCACAGCCCCTGAGGGTCACATAGTTATTTTACATGCTGTTGACTATTAATTTTTTAGAGAAAAAAATAACGGTGTCATTAACTTATCTGTGTTTACGATATTTCCATGGCAAAGTGCACTGACAGATGCCCCAAGCAGACGACAGTAGCCGACATAATAAATAAACTATGTATAGTATTCGAGCAAACTGGGAAAGCGTGCTTCTGAAACTTCTTAAATTCTGTTCCATTTCATTAGTGTATGTTTTACATTTCAAAGATTCTCCATATTTACCGGAATTTCTAGATGATTTCTATGAATTTGAAATGATATGTTATCCGGCTGTATTGCTAATGTTCCATTTAGAAATAGAGATACTTATAAAGGTAAGTAACTAAGTCGGAATTGGAAGGGTGATGTTTATTTTGCTGGGAGGCAGAGCTTTTCAACAGATACTGTTATGCACCGCAAATAGCTGAATGGCTCATGTTCGATTCGTTCTGTCTTCCTGCAGGCAGAATGCCTTTCAAGTCGTGGCTGTGGACGGGGTCTGCAGTGGGGTCATTCAGTGCCTCTCGGCTGAAGACTGTATAGACTGGCTGCAAGCAATAGCAACTAATATCTCCAACCTCACAAAGCACAACGTGAGTAGTGACTCAAGGAATACTGGCCATAAGGTTTCTCAGCCTTTGTTAAATTCTTCAGCTTAAGTGTAATTTTGCATCATTTGCTGGCGGTTCTAAGAATGAGCCACTTCACTCCATCCTGACAATTCTTCTGGAACACTCTTGAGAGAAAATCTTCCTGCTCCAAGAATTACAGCCCAGTTTATCAGTTCCAGACTACTCTCACATGTAGTTAGAGACATTCGCAAACGTCGTGTCTGCACTAGTTAGTAAGTGAAAGTAGGTGGTTAGCACATAAACGCTAAATGTATTTAAAAGTATTTTGGACTAATAAAACACTGAATTTCAAGGCACCGTTACTGATTTACTCTCAGTGATCTCATACATTTTTCTAGGAATGTCTGAAGGAGTTGGAAGCAGGGCAGAGTCTGTTAAAAGACCGGAGATCTTATATGACACTCCACAGAGAACAGCCAGAGTTGTGACAAGATTTCATTGTGGGATGCAGAGTCAGAGAGCAGAGGCAGGCCTACGTTATTAGGGATGGCTTCCCAGCCTTTGTGTTGCTTTCCCCATTCTGTGTCGGTCTGTTGTCGCTGTTTTCTCATGATCATGTCTTGGTAATGAGCTAACCAGCCCCTCCTGCCTGTTACCTGTAGGAGAAGCGTAGGCCAACAAAGCACGTAAAGCCATCAGCCTCACTTCTGTCATTTCAAAGTAGGAATCATTAAGGATTATTCTATTTTAGAAAAAAAAAAAAATTCAATCTCATCTATGGCTTTGTCTTCATTCTCTCCTGTCCACAACCATTCCACACTGTGTTGGAACATTTCAAAAGTTGTAAGGGAAATTCAGAAGAATAACATATAATGGTCAAGAAGAAATATGCAACTCTCTCACCAACGCATGAACATGCAAACGTTCCTCCTCAAAGGAGTCCCCATTTGCACAGATTTTGCTTTGAAATCTGAGAAAGGATTGTGGAAAATTGGACTTTCTTAAATGCAGAAGGACCACCTGCCATTAATGACAACTGTCTCGTCCCCAGCTTCTGGTTATTTCAAACAACCGCTGTATTGGCCTAGTGACTGGCACTGGGCCGCTCTGGGCGAGGAACCGATAGCTGTGGGGTGACACGCATAGGGGGTTTTACCAGGCAATGCCCTGACATTCCAAAGGGCTCTTATTGCAGGTCACCCTCCAGGCATGGTGTCACCCTGCTGGCCTTTCTTCTTCCAGTTGCAGACAGGAAGCATTTAGTTCTCGACAGTTCTGTGGGTTGGCTGGCTATCTCAGTGGGCAGGCTGGGCAGGGGCCTCGTCTCTGGGTGGGAGGAGCCCCATGTCAGCTGGCTGATGAGGATATGAGGATGAGTCTCATCTACCTGGGCTTGAACATGGTGCCTGAGTTCCAGAAACGCCATGATCAGGAACTGGGGGTAGGGGTGGGGTCCTGAGCACCCTGGGCCTTTACACTGGGTCCAGTCAATGCCATAGCAACATCTCCTGTTCCCCTAAGACAGTTTTGAACTTCCAGGCACAACAAACTCATTTCTGAATTCCAGTTGTACACTTAGAAACTGAGTATGAAAGATTCTCTGTGGGGGAATGAAAGCAGTGCTTTTCAGTTCCTGCATCCACTGCGTTGGCAGTCCCCTCCCCGTAGGCTGGGCATGGCCTTGTGGTTTGCTCTGGCAAATCATGGGAGAATGTCGATGAGGATGCCAGTAAGACATGCCAAGTTCCCGTGCATGGGGTCCTCACTCTGCCTTGACTGGGTTGTTTGGATGTGTGAAACTGTGCCTCACTGTGGTGTGAATAAAGGCAGAGAACCTGTTTGTGGTGCACCAAGCCTTCCCCAGGGGCATCGCCCAATGGGGAGGGTGAGCTGGGCTTGTCGGACTTGGTCAGAGGGCTTCCTCCACAGCCCAGTCTGTGCTAATCTAATGGTGTCACCAGGTATCAGTTTGGAGGAAAGGCTGCAGAAAACAATAGGTTTCAGACTGGCAAAACAGAACAAACAAACAACAAAATCCCTGCAAAGTCTGCCCCTCTCCCTTCCTTATGTACACAGCTATTTCTAGAATTAAAGACCAGGGAAAATATCTTGTGAGAGTATTGACTTTCCATTTTATGACTGCAGTGATTAGAATGCCTTAAAAATGAGCCATGGTCCTACATTTGGGAAGAAGAATGTGTTTTAAAAAAGGACAAGACATTCAATTTTAAATACAAAGTCCATTCCTTTGTTTAGATCCAAATTCGCAGTGACCTAAAATCCTAGGAATACTCTAGTGAAAACTGGACTCTTCTGGAATGTGAGTTCCATTAGAATGCCGCAGTCCAACTGACAAGCCTTTGAAAAGTCAATGCTTCAGTTAAAAAAAAAGAAAAAGAAAAAGGAAAGGAAAGGAAGCTGCAAATCTCTACCCTCTGTAACCTGAGGAAGGGCTTGTTTCCGTTCTCCTAAGTCCCAGGGTGAACTTGGGGACGCGGGCTGTGCGAGGCTGTGCACCTGCGGGGAGAGCCCGGTGTCCAGCATGGTGATCGGCTGGGCTCAATCAGCTATCTGTGCTCTGGCCTCGCAGGGATTACCTTCTCATCATATGTCCTTTTGCTCTTGTAATCAGTTCTCACGCCGAAGTACTAATGATTACAAAGTACTCTGGCATGTAAAGTACTACGTAAACGTTGAGAAATTATTAAGCATAGCAATAAAAATGTGAAAGTCACATTGACTTCAGAGAAACAATGACTACATTAACACAATTGATATGGTTGACTGTGTGAAGAAAGAAATCCGGCCAACTGAAAGTCGCTAGGAAAGACGATTTAGGACAGCCAACTGTTAATTCTAGTTCTCTCTCTCTCTCTCTTAAGAATTATTGTTGTAATATTTAATTTGACCAGAGAGAAACAGAGACACAGAGAAAGGGAGAATGAGAAAGAAAGTCTCCAGATCCAGGACTCGAAGCACAGTCAGCCAAGTGGGCGTCGAGCACCTCCACCACCACTTTACCTGCCAGCCCAGTTCCTTCAATGTTTTGGTCTAAAAAGTTACTAGTAGTAATATCTTACAGAGAGATGTTGACTCAGTAGTTGTTTCTGTTTTTCTTGTTTATAAATTTGGGACCAACAGATAGCGTAATGGTTACATGGCTGGACTCCCAAGTAGCCTACTGAGATTTGAGTCTTGGAGCTGGCAGCTTAAACTAACGCCGAGCGCGTGTGTGTGCCCAAAAGTCCCAAAAGGAGAATGAAGGGGAAGAGTGGCCATTTCCCCCGGGGATGATTTCTTGTTTTCTGTCTCTTTGTCTCTGTCTCTCCAGCAAGCACATGTGCCCTGTAGCAAAATTCCCCCTAAAACAGACAAACAAACAAACAAACAATTAAAATAAAAGTTTTCAGAGAACATGTGTGTTCTCCAGAGAGATGGGGAGAGAAAAAAGAAAGCACGCCCCCCCTGTGCCGTGGTCATGCCACACATCTTCTCCTCCATCCTGTTAGAATTATGGGTACTAAACCTCACACACCCTATGTGTTTGTCAAACTCCTGGGCCCAGAATCTGACCCCTGCGATCGGCCGTGTGGGATCCCCCCCTTACGGTCTTTTACTTTGTGAGTTAGTATTACAAGAGTGTGTAGGCTTGTATAGCTCTGACTTGAGTCATTCATCTCTGCTAATAGGTGAAAAGAAGGAAAATACTGAAATAAATATTTAGGAAAATGACACTCAAGATAGTATCGAGCATAAAATTAAACATAAAAATAAAATGGAAGTGCATATCAAATTATATGTTTTTAAAAGCCATGCTATTGAAATAATATACAACATATTTATAAATATAATGATTACAAGAAAAAACAAAAATATTCAAACCACACATTACAAAAACTTTATTTATTTATTTATTATTTTGATTTTTTAAAAAAAAATTGCTATAGATCACATGTACTCACCAGAAACAGAGAGAGAGAGACACAAAGAAAGAGAAAGTGAGAAAGTGATCCCCAGGGATGGAGATGGCCACTCTGCAATGCTTTCTCCTCTCCTCTGCTCCCAAATGTTAGGCAAACACACACGTGAGCCTGGTGTGTTTTTCCAGCCTCCAGGTTTGGGACTCAGACCCAAACAGTGCAGCCAGCCAGGTGGGTGTAGCTGACTTCACCACCACACCCCTGCTGGCCCAGAAAACGTCTTTGTGCTGAATTTTAGCCAGTTAGATATCGGGTCGTTGGAAGTCATGAGCATTTTTGCATAGAAGAACATAGGAAAACGCATCATGACTTTTCTGAAAACCCAATAGTAAAGGAGAAAGATAAAGGAAAGCAAAACAAAATAACCTGTGCTGAAGTCATCGGGACAATGAGCTCACCGTTTATAATTTTGGGAAAAGTGTGTTTTATATTCATTTTTGGAGAAATTCCATGTAGCCATAGTTGCTCTCTGAAAAATCTCTTCTTGCAGAAGGTCATTGAACAGAATAGTGCAACTACTTGAATAAACACCAAGAACTTAAAATTGTATTTTATCTTTATTTAGGGAAGCACCAAAATATTGCCAATGCACTTAGCACATGGGATTCAGAGAAAGAGGGTGCGATAAGGACTTGTCTTAAAGCTGTGCTTGCTCATTTGACCTTTAGCATGTGTTCACACATCGGAAAGCGAGGACTTGCAGGAGCTCTGGGCTTCGTGTGGTGTTGTGGGGTGGGGTCCAGCTTCTATTGGGCATTTGTCATTATTCTAGCAAGGTGTGGAAGACTTGAATAGATTCGGAAAGGTAAAGTTCATAAAAGGTAGAATCAGTGGTTACGTTAAGTCTCTTTTTTTTTTTTAGACAGTTTTTTTTTTTTTTTTTTCCTACTAACATGTGTTTGCTGGAGAGAGGAAAACCCCCCCCCCCCCAAGGGGGGATGGCCACACCTGCAATCCCTTTTCCTCCATTCTCCTCTTGGGATCTTGGGCACACACGCATTTGTGCCCGGCATGAGTTTTAAGCTGCTGGGTCCAGGAGTA